AGAAAACTTAAAAAAGAACAAAACAAAAAATTCAACAAAAAAGTAAAGACAGTTGATTCTAATTTTTAACAATTTACACATTAAATTTGGATAAATATTTGCAGATAATTATTGTATGGAAATCAACTTATTAATGCGGTTATAATTTACTGGTTTATTTTTAAAAGCCACAGATATATAATAAGTTTCAATTTTTATTTCTTTTTCAAACTGACATGTCTATTCATTAACTTAATTTCTTTGTTATTTTTAAATTGCAATGGCTTTTTGGGGAAAAAAAAATTTCCCTGTTGCTTTCTCCACAGCTTTGAATACAGATTTTTCCTACTCATACACATGACTAAGGGTCTTAGTATATCCTGCTATTTAACCTATAGCTGAAAGTGGAGAAGTGATAAATTCGTGCCTTTCGCAATGGCTTTTGTGTGAAAGTGAATGCAACAGTTAAGGAGGAAATTTGAACACCGGTTGTAGATTCCATTTTCCGTATTGATAACCGTTAAGCCACTAATACGAAATAGGGATCCGGTTAGGATATATAAAACACTATACTTATATCATATGAAATTTGTGACATTAAACATATAAGATATTATATACTAAATTCTAAATCTTTTAAACTGAATAAGAAGGAACAAAATTTTCAGCGTTTTGAAAATATGCTTCACCAATGAATATCAAACTTACCGAGCATGTTTAAATTGATGACAGAACAGGGACTTAGTAATGTTTCAAGCGTTTAATATTAAATAGAAATTGATAAAGATCGTCCTTGTCTTGAGACACGTTGCATAAACGAAGAAAAAACAGTGAATCCGTTGCACATGTTCATATAATTTGGAATTATTTGTTTTTTTTTATAATGACTTCGTTCTTTAGGTGCCATGTATGAGGTTTTCCATTCATGTGTGACTTAGCAGAATAATTCTCATAGTAAGCTGCCGTTACTTTTTGTTGTATACTGGTTACCAACCAAGGCTATATGACCCAGGCTGTACTGCTATTTTTTCCTATATATATTTATGACTGAGTAAATTGAATTAAACAAATGTTCGGATTATTAGTTTTAACATTTCAATAATTTCAAAAGACACAAGGTTGTTACTCACATAATAAAGACCTTCTTGGAATCGGGACTTGAGCGAATTTAATACGGTGGATGTATCGAGGACCTCAAGTGTTGACAAATCGCTGATATCATGTCTGATTCTCATATCTTTGGATTCAGGTATAAGTGCGCTGTTTAATTTGTTTTCAATATCGTGGGGCAAAATGTTTAGCCTCCCGAATTTCTGATAGTAAATGGAAGTCATCGGGTTCCTTTGTAGATTTGATTCAAGATCTCTCTGCAGCTATAATTGGTAAGTATATCTCTCATGATTGAGAATGACGGGAATCCTGTAAAGGATTAAAACTGAAATTAAAAGAAAATTTTACGTATATACACAGTAATTAGTAAAATGATTCGTGGAATTTTCCCGCTGTATTTTAGTAATCTAAGAATCGAATATTAAAAACTTCATATATTTTGATTATGCAGTGAAGCAAATATATATATATATAAGTGCTTTTGCATTTGCAAATTTTGATGAAAGGAAACATGGATTTTCAAGAAATTCATGAAGAACAGAAATACATGTCAACAACATTATTTTTCATTTTTTCTTCGTTCTCATTACGGCTTTTTTTTATATAGTACTCCTGAAGTATCCTAGAAAATTTAAAGCAACAAAAACTTTTTTCTTCGAGTTCATTACGGCGTTATTTTATATAGTACTCCTGAAGTATTCTAGAAAAAGTTAAAGCAACATAATGTTTTTCATCATGTTCGTTACGAGCAGAGACAATCAGAAAGTGTCATTCTGTTACAGTGGGCTATAGTGGCAGCGCATGCAAGTGAGTACCAAGGAGATGCGTATTTTATGCTGGAATGAAAGCATCGATACCGGCTTTCACCAAGGAGAACTCAGACGCACATTTATGAATAGGATGTCTAAAAACTGCATTTCATTGGACTTCACAAGGAAGTCACGGAAAGACTGTTCTATCCGCACGTAGATAACAGAAAGATATCCTGTTGGTAAGAGGTTCTTGGTTTGTGTGGGAGCGGAAACAGATATTTACAGACATTAGCGCATGATCAGAGTTGCCAAGAGGGCATGAGTCCGAAATAGATGTAAAAAAGAGGTCGGGAAACTGAGTGAGCGGGATCAGTAACAGAGTGTTTAAGCCACATGGCATGGTGGGCATTAAAGAAATATATTTGCAGATGGGTTTAGGGAGTTAGCCTTGTCTATATTATCAGAAATACTACCTAGCCCTCAACAGTCCCGACGAGAAGGAGACGTTAGAGAATATAGAGATAGCTGAGTTAAGTAGAGATAGACGGAGATGCATCTAAGAGTGGTGTTGAGATTCAAGACAGAGTTCTTTAGCCAGCGTGAGATGTTCACGACATAAACTCCCAGGCTATGCATGTGGACATCAGATTCCTTCCTAAAAAGAAGATAAAAAGTAATCGAGAAATCAAAGAAGAGGATTGAATAGTTAAGATTAGTTTCATAGAGAGGTAGAATACCCGAAGACTTTTCGAAGAGGAATGATTGCATACTGCAGAAGTTGGTACGAATAACACAAATGTTGGAAAAGGAAAAGGAAAGGTTGTGGTTGTTTAGGGGATTTTTGTGAGCTGGTTTAGATTTAAATATTTGACATCTGGCCTAGGGTAGTAGTAGCAGTCGGTCGTCTATTGTAACATATGTAAAAAGGGAACTGACACAGATTGCAACATAGTCGAGCCTCAGGGTTGCCCACCGGAGGGGATTGCAGAGACACCCTTCCATGCGTGACATGGCATTGCAGAACCCCGTTATTATGCAACTGTTGATCGATGCTGCATACAAGTCGCTGCCCATGAGTTCGGGCTCCTAACTACTTGTCGGTAACAGAAAGCAGAAAACTGCCGACCCAGTACATTTAGTATGAAGAAAAGATGCTACCATCCACACATCAGAAAAATGCGTGAGATCACCACTATTAAGGCATGATAAAAAGAAAGGAATCGGGAAAGGAGCCACAACTCCTGTTCAAGAGAAGGTGGAAAGCCTATCAACTCTTAGTAGGAAAGCCTATTTACTCCTATATGTATGTGTGTGTTGTTTTGGAATTGACATATTTATGGGAGTAATAGGTACAGATATTGGGTATGATGTCTTTACAGATGTAAACATTGTGGGAATGTTTACAGGCGCTCTATCTCTGATATTGAGCACTTTATCCAATAAATATACACACCTTAAAGCTATATTTCTTATATATATATATATATATATATATATATATATATATATATATATATATATATATATATATATATAAAGAAAACAGATTAAGAATCCGCCGTTCTTAGCATTTACATTTTTTTAAATGTGCACGATACAACATAGTGCAAAATATTACAAAAATATTTTATCATAAAAATATTTTACATCGCTACAGGGAAATGTTTATTTTGGAACTTAAAAATTGTTCCATCATCAGGCGATGTTGCCTAACTTATGATGAAAATGGTTTACTTGGGAAATCAGAAAATAATTCTGTAGCTTATCTGAGAGTTAAAAATAAGAGGGAATAAGATTTCAAAATGTTTTGGGTATATCGTGGTTAACCAATCAAAAGACTGTATCATAATCATAATCCTAGAAAATTGAAAAATTAGGTTAGGGGTTATACGTAGGTGGGTTATTGATTCATGTCTAGATAAATTGACACTTTTAAGGCACGTCAGCACAAACGGCATTCGGTTACGAATATAGATTTAAGATTCAGTGAAATAGACAGAGATATATTTAACAAAATGTAATTTTTAAAGAACTTAAAGATTTCATTTCTTTTTATATACTTGAAAACTATCTTAAAGAGGCCCTTGGTGTGATTAAATAATTTTTATATATATTATTTTGAATGCAAAATACAATACTTATCATATCGAATGGGTAATAAAGTATGGCAGTATTAAATTTGAAAACTCAAAGAATTAAATAAAAATATATAGCCCATTATATGTTATTAAAATAATGGATATATAATTGTAATGCATAGATATTTTATGAAAAATTCTATTAACTACATTATAAAGTAAACATTATTCCTACAAATTACTGTTAATTTATTTCGTTGATCAGATTTTTTTAGGAAACTTAATATGCAGTTTTCATGTTGGCACAGGGGACATAGCTCATTTAAGGATTTAAAAATTCTCGTTTTTTTAATATTTCCCATTTTACGGTCGTGGTCTCATTCATTCTGTTGCCTTCTAACAGTGAAATTTGGTGGTTGCAGCATCAGGGTTTGGAGATGATTTTTTCTGCAAAAAGTACTGGCAACATATCTCAGTAAAAGATGGTAGAATGAATGCTACAGGATATCAATAAATTTTGGAAGCAAATTTAATGATTTCGGTTGATTTCGATTGAGCATCATGAACTGCCTCCTGTTAGTAACTTCCAACAAGATAATGATCCTAAGCACACTGCAAAATCTACGAAGAAATAGCTTGCTGAAAATAATGTAAATATCCTGAAATGGCCAAGTCATTCCCCAGATTTAAACGCAATGTAGAATCTGTGGCGTTATTTGAAAATTCAAATCCAATCGAGGGCTCCAACAGTCATCCTGGATCTGAAGATGATATGCGAAGAAAAATAGAACAAAATGTCAACTAAAATTTGCAAATTATTAGTTGAGAACTACAAAAGAGTTTGATTGCTGTAGAAGTAAATAATGTCTATTCTACAAAGTATTAAATGAAGTTTATATATTCTTTTTTGTATTGTACGAATACTTTTTCCACCCATTAAAATGAATATATGGGATTTATTTTTATCAAATCAAACACGTATCAGTTTTCTATCTAGTTATTAAGTATTTTTGTACAGTTAATTATATGAAAGCTATGTGTATTCTTTACTTGGAAATATAATAAATTAAGAATTTGTATGTGTACGCATATGTGACTTTCCTCCACCACTATATTAAAGAAAACGATATATACATTTTGTATATTAAGAACAACTTTTAGGAAACTATTTCCTGTGACGCGTTTCATCATAAAGTCAGCCTCTCAGTTTAATCTATAGCTGGGTTTGGAAGAAAAAGCAAGCGTATTAGCACGAAAGTAAATGAGACGAACTCTACTGGAATATGAACTCGACTCTCCGATTTCTAGTTCCGAACCGCTATATATGTATCACCTGAGCATTCGGTTCTTCTGAAAAATCTGATATGTTGCTGCACAAATATTCACCACTATAGTTTAGTCATATGTACCGGCTAATCAGGCTGTTTCTTTCTAGGGGAGGAAATGTTGGATACGTACATCAAAGACGACGGGTGAGATATATCCTAGATATATAAACATCCAACCCAGTGAGGGGAAAAGTAATCTCTCACAGACATAACAGACTAGAATGTACGCTCCACTTTTCGAATTAGTGACCCGAAGTTGCACTACACAGCTTAACTGATGAAATCAAGAGTTGAATAAATTTGGATGTTACATATGAAAATCTCAAGCTTTTTATTTTATTTAACACCATTTTGATTATAAAACAAAATCGACTTCATTATAATAACAATGATAATAATAAAATGTTTCTACAAACCTCTAACCTACAAAAGTGTATTACTCTAAAAGCAGTTTGCTAACTGTAAAGATTTTTGTTGTTAAACAACATCGGCTTTACTGATATTTTCCAAACAAAACTATCCATCTGGAGAGGTAAAACTAAGTGTAAAAATTGTCTACTCTTTAGAAATAAAACGAATTTTGTGTCCTCCTTCTTGTACCATAGTAAACTGAATGAACCGCGTAGACACACACACACACACATATATATATATATATATATATATATATATATATATATATATATATATATAGCTGTGGAATACATCGACGTTGGGTAATGATTAGCAAGTATGTCTCGCTAGAACATTTATGACTGATTAGTGAAATCAATACTCACTTGGCGTCAGATACGCTTAGAAAAACTCTGCGTCTGCTTGTGTGTGCGTCTGTGTGTGAAAGAGAGAGAGAGAGAGAGAGAGAGAGAGAGAGTACGTTCGTGTGCTCATATTTATTCACAGGAAAACCCCACGATTTAAACGCGTATCACATATCTATTTGTTAGTCTAATGCGGAAGTAAAATTCTT